GTGAACAGCATTCATTTCTGTGAAATCTTTCAGCTTTACAACTTCAGCAGATGTGAACAGAAACTGAATGTGGGCAGAAGGAAAACTCAAAAAGTGACTTTTAAAAACTTTTTTTATTTTTCTAACTCTTCAAAGCTACATCATGATCACAAGGTAGGATGCTCCAGTGTTTTATTCTGAATACCTGGTTTTTTTTATGCATGGTTTGGTTAAATTAACACTATTTATAAATGAGGTGCTTCAAAACCATTGTACAGATCAGCCACTGATTTATTTTTAAATGCTCTACTTTCCACTTCTATAAAGGTTTCTTTCTGTGAGTTTCACTGTTATCAGACACCATTGAAAGTTAGACTCCTCACCAAACAGCTCCTGGGGATTCTGCATCTGATGTTTTGCTGCGTTGTAGCCCCTCTGATGCTTATTGAATATCCCGTTGATAATTTCCACCTGTTTATATTTGATTGTAAATTTTACAACTACTTCTAGAGTATATGTACTAGCTTGCATGCTTTTGCGCTCTTTTGTCTCCTTTACTGTGGCCACAGAGCAAAAAATCGAACAGTGATAGCACAGTCATTTAGTGGTTGACCGCTATAGATCTAAAGATAGGTGAACTGCAGCTTGTGAATGTCAGAGAGGAAAGCTGTGAACAAGTTTTGAGTGCTCTTAGTAATTTATCTGTGATTAACACAGAGTAATTTGGTCTGTATTATTATTCTTTTTATTATTATTATTATCATTATTGTTGGCCATATGCACAGGTTGTGGACAAAGTCTTGTGCTTCATGATATTTAAAAAATATGTGCTTCCTGTTCAGTATCAATCAAAGTACAGCTGCTGCTAACACATATGGATCAGGCAGGTCTGACTTTTCTTCTGTTTCTTATATAAACAGTTTAAGTGTCTTACTTTACATCATGTTCTTCCTGTTTGTAAACTGCTGTGAGTGCTGCAAGACCCAGTCTGTAGTCACTATTTAATATTCAAGCAGAATAGAATGAATACCTGAATTATCAACTGCCTTTTTCCTCACATCTATTAATGAATCATATCATTAATTATGTTCATTTGCAGATTAACTTAAAGTATTAGAATTCTGCAGCAGCCCTGGTTCACAACTGTTACTGCAAAACAGTTCAATAGCTGTCAGTTATGACATTACAGAGCTTTACAGCGTTATCTGCTAACACAGGGCAGGACGGCGGGATGGTGTAGATGTGTCTCATCTATGTATCGTTTTTTTTTTTTTTTTTTTTCGGACCATAAGGCATACTGTCGATGAACAGGTCAGTTTTCATACATAAGGTGCACAGAATGATAAGGCGCATTAAGCGAAACAAAACAGTCAGATTAGTCAAACTTTACTCAACTCATTCTTCTTGCTTCCTCCACTTCTGTACCATTGATTCAATAATGATGAATTCTCTCACAGCTGCTCTATTCCCATGTTGTTGCACTATATTAATGACTAACCTCATATTGTGGATGGATTATCTCAGTTGTTCTTCTGACTGAAGTTTGGTCTGTTTACAGCATCCTGCCATGCGACTGCATTTGTCCCTAACCATTGGGAATCCTCAAGTTAACTTTATAGAGTGGAAAAAAGTTAAAATTCATCTTCGAGCTTTAGTGTTTATGTTATGCTTACGTAGCTGTTTTGCTAGCGATCGCATAGGACATCAATATATACCAGCTAGCCCATCTTCAGTAACCCTACCAACATCACTGCTGTTTAGTTTTCTGTCTTAATTTATGTTGGAAGTGATAACAGAGCTGTACGTTTTAGTTTTTTCAGAAATCTCTCAGTCAGAACATGGCATCTGGTCTTAAGTCTGACGTCATTAGCCATGTCTGGATCCAAACTCCGCTGCAGATCCCAAAGCCAAACCATCATTGCCGAGAGAGGCTGACAGTGATCACTGACTGTTTGTTGAGATTAAACAGAACAAGATACAAAGTATTAAAACAAGTTAAAAACACAACAGCCTTATTAAGTGGAGAATAGTTTGGGCCCGAAAGCAAGATTCATCACGTCTTCACTTAAAGTCTAGATATCATGTTTTGGTGGAAGCTAGCGAGCTAACTTCCTGCTAACTACTAACATCTAGTTTGTGAAACAAAGAAATCCCTCGCAGTTTAACCATCACAGGTAGTTTTTTCCTGTGCCTGTGTTCACGACAAAGCTCAGAACCACAGAGTAAGATTATTTATAGCTCTGTGCTGAGGCTGAGCTGCAAGATCAGACTGCACATCTGACAATGTGATGTTAAAAAGATGGAAATCAGATCAACCGCCAACTAAAAGTCAGCTGAAACAGACTCTACAGTAATTAGAAAGCAGGCTACATTATGAGTTTTAGTACTGCTAATTAGAGCCGTCCTTTTAAAATGATGCCATCAAAGTTCACTTCACTGCTGAAAAACAGATCGTGACCTCAGTCTCACAGGGGTTATCAATGACACACTGTTCCTTTTGCTTCTGTCATCTAGAGCGGGTCAGCTACTAATACAAGGTTGCTGGTTCAATCCCTAGCTGCTCCAGGCTTCATGTTCCAGTATCCTTGGGCAAGATACTGGTCCAGAGTTGCTCCTGATGCTTTCATCATTGTGTCAATGTTAGACTGAAAACACTTTGCAACACAGTTACACGACTAAGGATGTAGTAGACACACAGTTCTACACGTGGATGTCACACGTTTTATGGATGTAATAGGTTGCAGTAAACTGCAGTGCCAGCAGAGGGAGACATTTTATTTCAAGCCAACATGAAAACAGTCATGGAAAACATTTTAAGAAACATTATTAACAGATTTAGATCTGCCGCCTAGCTCAATCATTTCTGGCATCTGGTATGTACTTCATACCTTCCTTGGTCATTTGCAACTGTGTCTGAATAATTGAGACTTGCTGTATAAAGTGTTTTGAGTCCTCAGGTAGAATAGAGCAGAGTTTTATAAGAACCAATGCATTTACCATTTACATTTGACTTGTAGCCTGAGTCATTATGACATGTAATGTGGACTGATTGTTGTACAGCCATCTCTGCTAGACTTGAGCACCCAAAATGCTTAATGTACAGAATTTAATGAGCAGGCTTCAAAATGTTTAACTTATTTAGACTAATTTCATTAATAATCCATTTTCCAGTTCCATTTACTCCAATATTTTAAAAACCATAACACTGGTTCACAGACCCATGATCGTGACAATAACTCCAGGACCCTTGGTTCACTTTACATCAAGGACATGCTGGCAGGTGAGAGTGGAGTGGGATCTCAAATTTAATTTACATTAACTGTGATTTCTCTTTCTTCAAAGTAGAACATCTGTGGATGAGAGAGCTGCAGGACTGTGATGATGGGGAATACTTTGCTGGCATTATTCTGTAAGTACACTGATTTTCTCTGTTTGTGTGCCACTAACTGAGAAAAAAAAATCTCTCTGTTACTTTGAGAGTTTGATTAGATCCAGTTGGTTTTTTTTTTTTTTTTTGTTGTTGTTATTGATTTAAACATTTTTTAAAGTTACTTTGAGTTGAGTTTCTTTTACCTCTTCATTATTTTACAAATTACAAAAAGTCAATTATGTTTTTGTGATGTTTCGAGCCTGTTTATTATCACATAATATATGGGTACAAATATGTTGATGGGGCATCTGAAAAATCTGTTTATGACTGATAAAGTGTGGATATTAATCTTTATTCTAGTGTTCAGTACATTCTTCTCAGGAAATGCTGAAGGTGAGAAATTGTTTTCTTTGTTTTCCATTTGTGTGATGTGTTTAGTACTTACTTTTTTGCAGCTCCTTTTTTTCTTATATTTGATAAAATTATATAGTTTTATATACTTAATTATGTGTGTAACATTGGGATATTACATACATGTTGTTAAACTCACCCATGAGGCTAATTCTCTGGTTTTGTACTTCATGCAGATCAGTTTTCTTTTTGTGAATTCATCTGGTTGTCTCAGCAGATTCCAATAGTAATCCAGAATAAGCCACTGCTGTGAATATGAGAACAACCACAAACACAGACAGTTTCATATTCTTCTTTGTAGTGATTATCTCACAAACTCACTTTTAAAAGTCTCTGAAACTTAAATGAAAATGTTTAGATTAATATGTGAAACTATAGCCTCCATATACATCCATGTGTTGTAATCTCATGACTCCAGTGTGAGTCATGTTTTAATTTGGATGAGATATTCTGCAACATTCATTTTATTTCTTTTAACTCAACAGCAAATAAACCTAGAGCCACACTGAGAGCACAAAGTTCAGTCATACCAGCAGGGGCAGTGTGACACTGAGCTGCTCTGTGGAGGGCTCTGCTGGCTGGAAGTTTGACTGGTTCAGACGTGATTCAGAGTTTTCTGGAGCTCACAAAATAGGAGCTGGAACATCAGAGCACACGATCAGTATTTCAGAAGGAGGCATCTATTACTGCATTGGAAGGAGAGGAGATCCAGTTTTCTACACAGAGTACAGTGCTCCAGTTACAATTCAGAAACAACGTGAGGGTGAAATTTTGTTGTGAAACACAGTAAAACAAAAATTCATGATTAAATTAAAGTAGAACTTTGTAACTTTGATTTTATTTCGTTCACTGTTGGTTTGTTCATGAATATTTGTGTTTATTTGTTTGTTGAACAGTTTGGGCTGCTGTGAATCTGCAGCACAGCTGGTCTCAGATATTCACTGGTGAGACAATCACTCTCAGATGTGAGATTCAGGGAGGTGAAGGAAAGGTGTGGAAATATGAATGGACAGCACCCAACACAAACAGCCCTCCAACATCCAGTGAATACAGGATCAGCAGAGTTTCAGTGTCCCACAGTGGAGACTACAGATGTCGGGGTAGCAGTGACTATCTCTTAACAGGATGGAGTGATATCATCACACTGACTGTGTCATGTAAGTTTCATCTAAAGGAGGGAAAAATAAACATTTACTTTTATTGCTGTCTTTAATGCAACTTTTTCTAAACTGAACTGCAGATAAACCAAAGGCCAAACTGAGAGCTGATAACACAGCTGTTCCAGTAGGGGGCAGTGTGACCCTGACCTGCTCTGTGAGCCCATCATCATCATCTGGATGGAAATACTACTGGTACAGAGATGAGAAATCCTCTGAAGCCCTGACCACACAAGATGCAGTTTTCCACTCAAATGGACAAATCAGTGTCTCACAGGAAGGACTCTACAGGTGCAGAGGAGGAAGAGGAAACCCAGTTTACTACACAGAGGACAGCCAGTCAGTCAGGATTCGGAAAACTGGTGAGTTCAAACTTAATGAACCCCAAATCACTACCTGATGAAAAGTATCTGATGGAAATTGACCCCTTTTGTCATTCACTTGTTCATTTCCTGAATACAGTCCCAATCAGGCCTGTCGTGACTCTGTATCCAAACTGGTCTGAGATATACAGAGGAGAGACGATCACTGTCAGATGTGAGATCCATGGAGGAGACACTGAGTGGCATTATGAGTGGGAAACAAACAGCAGGATAAAAGCTCCAAATCAAAGTGAATACAGGATTAGATCTGCTTCATCATCCAACAGTGGAAACTATCGCTGTAAGGGCAGAATGAAAAGTTCACAGCATGAAACAACAGAGTGGAGTGATTCAGTCACACTGACAGTTTCTGACAGTAAGTAGAGTCATAGTTCATTTAACCTGGAAATAGAAACAGTTTGTAAAAATGTGTTTTCATTACATGTTGAGTCAAAGTCATTCGTGAAACAATCTGACAATCTAATGTACTTTTCCCTGCAGCTTCAACAGCAAGTAAACCCAGAGCCACACTGACGGCACAAAGTTCAGTCATACCAGCAGGGGGCAGTGTGACACTGAGCTGCTCTGTGGAGGGCTCTGCTGGCTGGAAGTTTGACTGGTTCAGACGTGATTCAGTCTCTTTTAAAGCTCAGCTCATGAGAGGAAATGAAGCAAACAGAGTCTCACAAGGAGGTCTGTACCACTGCAGAGGAGGGAGAGGAGATCCAGTTTACTACACAGAGGACAGCAGTGACGTCACAGTTACAGAAACTCGTGAGTTCAATTATTTTATTGCTGCCAAACTGAGAGATGTCATTTTGTGTTCTGTGCTAACAATTTCATTCAACAACTATGAGTTAATTAAACCTGAGATGAGTGACAACTCCTGACAAATAGAAGAATTTATTCCATCTTATTTTTTTTTTTATCTTCATGTTTCTTTTTGTGTCTAACTAGATATTTTCCTGTGAACAGTTCCCAGTAAGCCCACTGTGACCCTGCAGCCATCCTGGACTCAGATATACAGCAGTGAGACAGTCACTGTCAGATGTGAGATTCAGGGAGGTGAAGGAGCTCAGTGGACGTATGAATGGAGAGCAGCCAAGTTAAACACACCTCCAACATCCAATGAATACAGAATCATCAGAGCTACTGAGTCTGACAGTGGAGGATACAGCTGCCGGGGCAGAAGGGACTATTTCTTCTCAGAGTGGAGTGATATCATCACACTGACTGTATCATGTAAGATCTTTCATCCAGAGTATCTAAATAAGGACAAAGCACTTCTTCTTTCTTACAGCTTTATAACTGTCTTTCATGTTGGTCAGTAAAATGTTTTGTTTTCATTCCAACAACAAAAACCTGAACAGCAGCTTTTTATTCACAGTGAAGAGAACAAAAAATATGAGAGTAACTTCTCTGCTGTGCAGCTCTAATACATGAAAGATGAAATGCAGAACAAATCCTGAATCTGTCTCAGCTGCTCCACCACATCCACTAAGAAACATTAAATCCACTGATTGTTCCTCATGTGTGTTTTTAACTTAGAAATGCAGCAAATTAAATATGAAAGATTAGTGTTGTGTTTGTGTGATAGTTGTACAGTTTGTTGCAGCTTCACCATTAAAGTTATGTGATATTTATTATTTCCATATTTCCACCAAGTTATTTCAACTGGTTTGATTCAGTCATTGACTTTTGTTCTTTTTCTAAACTGAACTGCAGATAAACCAAAGGCCAAACTGAGAGCTGATAACACAGCTGTTCCAGTAGGGGGCAGTGTGACCCTGACCTGCTCTGTGAACCCATCATCATCATCTGGATGGAAATACTACTGGTACAGAGATGAGAAATCCTCTGAAGCCCTGACCACACAAGATGCAGTTTTCCACTCAAATGGACAAATCAGTGTCTCACAGGAAGGACTCTACAGGTGCAGAGGAGGAAGAGGAAACCCAGGTTACTACACAGAGGACAGCCAGTCAGTCAGGATGTGGAAAACTGGTGAGTTCAAAGTTAACGAACCAAAAATCACTACATTTGATGGAAATTGACCCATTTTGTCATTCATTTACTCATTTCCTGAATACAGTCCCAATCAGACCTGTTGTGACTCTGTATCCAAACTGGTCTGAGATATACAGAGGAGAGACGATCACTGTCAGATGTGAGATCCATGGAGGAGACACTGAGTGGGATTATGAGTGGGAAACAAACAGCATGATAAAAGCTCCAAATCAAAATGAATACAGGATTAGATCTGCTTCATCATCCAACAGTGGAAACTATCGCTGTAAGGGCAGAATGAAAAGTTCACAGCATAAAACAACAGAGTGGAGTGATTCAGTCACACTGACAGTTTCTGACAGTAAGTAGAGTCATAGTTCATTTAACCTGGAAATAGAAACAGTTTGTAAAAATTTGTTTTTATTAGTACATGTTGAGATATTTGACATGTTTAGATAGTCTCACTCTTAAAGTTCATCATAAATATTTGTGAGTCAACATTTTAGTGACATTGAATTCAGAGTTAAGAGACGAAACATTGAGAGCAAATCTTTGTTGAACAGATGAACCCCGTCCTGTCCTCACTGTGTCTCCATCATGGCTGAGTCCTGGAGCCTCAGTAACTCTGAACTGTGAGGTTGAACATCCGTCTGCAGGATGGAGCTTCTACTGGTATAAAGCTGTTCCTGATCTATCAGAGAAATCCTCCAGTTATGAGCTGCTACCTGATGGCAGTGGGACTGCACAGGACTCCTACATCATTCATGGACAGACACACACAGCAGGATATGTGTGCAGAGCTGGAAGAGGAGACCCAGAGTATCACACTGATCACAGTCAACCAAAGTTTGTCTGGTCTGCAGGTCAGTTTGATTCTATCTTTTTTCAAGTAATGCAACAGCCAAAAATGTGAATTAATGGGTTGTTTTTGGCTTAGCATTGAAAGTGAAAATTATAGTTTGACCTATACGAACACTGCGTCTTTTAGCACTGACCTTTAAACATTCAAGTAAAAGAATATTTCCACTGTGATATGTTGATCCTAACATCTGTGAGCTTTGTGTCTTCACTACATGTTGTTTCCAGATGTTCATTCAGCAGCGTCTCTCACAGTGAGTCCTGACAGAGTGCAACACTTCACCTCTGACTCTGTCTCACTGACCTGTGAGGGAAACTTCACTGAGTGGAGAGTGAGGAAGTTCTCTGAGGACGGCCGACTGTACTCTGACTGTAGGAGAATGACTGGATCCACATGTAAAATCAGTTACATATTAAAGTCAGATACTGCAGTGTACTGGTGTGAGTCTGGATCAGGAGATTTCAGCAATGCAGTCAACATCACTGTACAGAGTATGTTATTATACATTCATCATGTTCTTTTGGTCATTTTTTTCCCGTTTATGTTATTTATTAGCTCATAGTGTTTCCCCACTACGGTACTGTTTGAAAGTAAATCTGTCAAAAAGAGACAAAAAGTGGGACATTTAGGCAATTGTAAGTCTTATTTTAGCTCGACCCTTATCAGTGAATAAGCAGTAAATGTCATGAAAAAAAGAAAAATTGTTTTCATAATTCTGCTAGAGGTGGGGTCGCCGCTGCATAGAGTTTTCAGAGTACCAAATATTCCTTTTTAACATATATACTAAAAAAAAAAAATTAATAAAAAGAAAATCGTAAACTCAACAGAAACCCATCAAATCAGAGTACATCTAAAATAACACCTCATGTTCCTCTTTTCTTGTGTGGCTGTGTTTGATATGTGCTAATGCATAAACAAGCAGCTGGTGAGTAGACAGATTTGGAATGTCTTATGAGATTAACGTTTGGTGTCTAAGGCACTATATATTTTATAGGTCATATGTATATTTGGTAAAAAAAAAAAAGTTCCTTTTAGGAAATGTACAGTAGTTCTTCAACACATCACAACTCTAACCTTCAGAAAACCTTCAAAAAGCTGAAGTTGCCAAAATAACATGATGATGTGATTTTTGTGACCTTCAGCTTTTTTTTTCTCAAGGTTACCCACTGACTAACAGGAACATCATTCATTATTTCACAGATAATTATTATGGTCCTATCCTGGTGAGTCCTGTTCATCCTGTGACTGAGGGAGCTTCTGTTAGTCTGAGCTGCAGTTTGAGAAAAACACAAAAAATACTTTCTAATGTGTTTTTCTATCACAATTACAAACTTATTCAAAATGATACCCGAGGGGAGCTGAAGATCTCTGCAGTGTCAAAGTCTGATGAAGGTTTCTACAAGTGTCAGTACTCAGGAAGAGAGTCAGCACAGAGCTGGATGTCAGTTAAAGGTGAGCAGGATCAAAACATTTGATGGATTTCTGCAAATGATTAACATAGCCACCATAGAGTATATTAATGAGTATGTGTTTGTCTTTCTTTCACCTGACTCTACTTTCGTAAGAACATTTTTAGAAAGATTTCTCAAGTCTCTAAATGTTTACTGCTAATGTTTACAGTCACAGTAGCTCCATCAGGATCTAAAAGGACTTCATGTCCTGTGTGGTTGGTTGTTGGACTTGTTTGTGGAGTCTCTCTTCTTCTTATTTTCCTGCTTGTAATGTATCGCTATAGAAAGGCAAAGGGTGAGACATTTTTACAAATACATCAACATATGATGATGTCATGGCACAAAATAGAAGTAAAATAATTTGCACTGAGAGAAACAATACTTTTTTTTTCTCTTTTAACAGATTTATGCTTCACTGGGTTGGTATAAAACTTTATATTCCTATTTTCACTCTAAACATTCAGCAGTGTTTTCTTTTACTGTTCTGAATTTTCTGCACAATGTTATTATCTGTGCATTTGTTATGTTTTCATTAGGCCGATCCAGTCAGACATCAACAGTCAAGACTCCACCAGAAATCCTGGAGTCAATCAGAATGAAACCCATGTATACAAATCTCTTCACCCTGGTCAGTCATAAACCCAAGGTTTAGCATTAATAATTAGTCTTCATAAAGTTCTGGTCAACTTTTTTTCAAAGACCATCAATCAAGGGCAAAAATCCAGAACACAAAAAGTTAGGGGGAAAAAAATCAAGTTAAATTAATTTGGTGTCTTTGCACAAAAATATTTAATTGCTGTAATGCATTAAACTCTAACATGATACTCTGACCTTGGCTTTTTAAGGTGAATATGAACTCTATGAAACAGCCCATCACTCAGAAGACACTGCAAATGGTAAATGGGATCTTTTGAATAGCACACAGCAGTTTGAAATATAAATAATTATTTTAAATGTATTGAAATGAAACTCTGACTCTGATTTTATTATCTTTGTCAAGGTGATCATCACATCTATGAAACAATCCAAGACTTGGAAGATACTGCAAAAGGTACACATTATCTTTTGAATATCATAGAGTTAATGTACCTGCTGCTCTTTGTGGATTTGAATTCAACAAGATGTGTTATTACTGCTAATTTCTATCCTTTACACTGTTTATGCTTTCTAATATTATACACTATACAACCATCATCTGCTTAATTTCAAATTCATCTTTAATACCCTTTATGCAACCTCTCTGATAATGAGCACCAGTCGCACACTGTTCTTTACTATAAATCCATCACAATACACCAAACTAACCTGTTTAATCTGCACTAAACTGCAGTGGATTTTCATGCAACCTTTAAGAAACACAGTTAGTGTTAGTTTTACAGTTACCTCAGTTTGTTTGAAGCAGGTTTCACAATCTGAATAACATAACTTCATATGTACAGACCTGATGTCTGATTTAAAAACAATAAGACTTACATGGAAGCTTTAAATTTCCAGTTTATTAAAATTTCACTGAGCAGTCCCTACCTTTAAATCTAACCCTTCTTCCGATAAATACGATTCATTTGAAATTATCTGACACTTAAAAACGTCTGACAAAGTGCCTGAAAAACCCCTTAAAAAACAGCCTACTGTAACCCCCGACTATTACACATGGTTTTGCCTCTTAAAAAATGCAATAATAATAATAATCATCATCATCATCATCATCATAATACATTTTATTTATTTAAAAGCACCTTTCAAAACACCCAAGGATACTGTACAGCAAATAAAAACAGGCATAAAAAACATGAAATACACACAATAATAAGAATAGCAGATAGAAAGTTTAATATCAGGGATAGGTTATGAGGAGTAGGCAATTTTAAACAGGTGGGTTTTGAGGTTGGACTTAAAAAGAGGGAATGAGGTGATGTTTCTGAGGTCAGGGGATAAGGAATTCCAAAGTCGGGGTGCACAGTGGCTAAAAGCCCTGCCCCCCATAGAAACAAGACGAGAGGAAGGAACAGAAAGAGAAAGGGAGCAGGATTATCTGAGAGTGAGTTACAGTAGTCAATCCAAGAGGTAACGAGGCTATGGACGAGGATAGCAGTGGCATGTGGAGAGAGGAAGGGGCGGAGGAGATTGATGTTACGGAGTTGGAAATATGCTGAGCGAGTGACATTACTGATTTGAGAGTTAAAGGATAATGTACAAAAACAGGATTTCCTTTCATGTGTTACTGTGAAGAAGTGCAGTGATGAAATAATAACTCCCCATAAATGCACAAAACCATAAGTAACAAACCTGTTTTGAAAATGGGAGTGGGAAGTACAGATGATTGTTTAAAAAGTGGGAAGTAAAAGAAAAAAGTTGTCAGAAAAAAAATACAAATACAGATGAAAATTGCACAATGATGAAGTATTTGTACTTTGTTACTTCTGGTGGTTAAAGATGTATAAACATTTGAATTAAAAACACTAATCCAGATGATCATTTTTTATAATCCTCTAACTAAAAAAAATTACATTTCAGAGGAAGATGAATCACCTGAAGCCACATACTCTCTTATAGAGGTTAAAGACTTTGGGATGGAGAGTGAGTATCTAACATGTGCAATTTAAAATTACAAAAAAAAAAATTAAAATACATTTAAAAATCTAGTTAAGAAAGGTTTTCACCTCCAGCACTGAAATGCACATTAATTATTTTCTTTTGCTCATTCATCTGATTATCTCAGCAGGGAAGAATCATAAACCACATAAGAGTATTATTTACACTGATGTGAATATGGGAACTGCAGGTAAACTCACAACAGTCATGCACTGAAATGTCTGATTACATTGACAATATGCCTTGACAAGATTAAATGGCCTCACCACATAACATCCTTACTTTTTGTCTTTTGTGTTTGCCTTACAGGTCAGTGAAGAGAGCAACAGCAGCAAAGCCAAAGAGAAGCATAATGTAATCATACTATAATGATCAGATCATATGCATGCCATATGTCTTCCTTGCATCCTCTGAGTGAGACAATCTTGATAAAACTTTCCATAAGCACTGCATAGGGCACTGTGAGTGGCCCATGCAATGCATAAATATTTTACAAAAGTCTCAGAATCATATAGAATTGTGTATTTGACAGTTCAACTGAGCAATAATGGAATATCAGATTAGAGTGGCGTGTCTGATTTAATGTATTTTAGCATCATATTATAGCATATATCATAGCATCTTGTATATCATAGTATATAAATATTTCTAGTCCCTATCTCCAGTGCAGGGTACACGGATTTGCTAGTATGTAATAATATAGACCCAATACTCTGTTTTTACACAAGGGCAACAATACATTTTTGTGCAGTATAATGAATTATACATTATATTAACATAAATAAATAGTGTGACTGATACTGTATGGAGTTGAATTTTGTCCAGTTTTGAAAAGCTTATACTTCTATGGATTTTTTTTTCTTAATTTCCATTCTGTCAGCAGTATTTTTGTTGCATCATGCTGCTGTATATCGTATTTATGAACTATAACTGTGAAACCCTATAAGACTGAGGTTTATATTTATGATAAATCCTTAGAGTAACAGCCATCACTAGGGGGTGGTCAATTGTTAATCATGAGATTTCCAAATGGACTGTGCTCTATTGAAATGCTTGTGCAGTGGTGTGTTTTGGTTTTCTATCCCCCATTAGCGGGAAGTAAATGCGAGGTGCGCCTGTTTCTTGCCTACAGGGAGGAGAGGGAGGGGGGGGGGTTCTGGTTGGCTGGAGCGGCATCTAATAACCAGCTCGCAAAAAAACAAAACAAAATTAAAATAAACCAACAAAATCTAAAACACCAGACATTGTGATACAGACTTATAATCTTCACCAATGTTTTTTTCTGAATTCTATCACACACATATACGCGTGAGCGTGAGGGCCCTCGGTGCGCCTGCTTGCTGCCGCTTCAGTGCTGAAGTCTCACAAACAACCTGTCGAAAGGGGAAGGAGTCCGGCTGCTTCCAAATAGAGCACATTTTATTCATAATATTGTCAATCCAAGCCCATTATATATTCATGATTTTTTCCTGGGTTGGGCGAAATCCCAGAACTAAACCCTAGACAAACCAGATCTGTGCACTAAGGTGTAGGTCTGTTAGGTTATGTTGTGGTGATCCTCGGGTTGGGGGATGGGTGTTCATACT